GTAAAAAGATATGACTTATAGTCTCTTCTTTTTGGGATTTGCAAATAGGGCACAAGGAGTCTATATTCATGCCAATATGTGAGAGATATTTCCTGCATAGGTGTCTATTATTGAGGCACTGCCATAGGAAGAATTTCACCTTATTTGGGCAATTAAGGTTCCAGATCCAGGAGAAGTCCTGTTCGTTTGGTGAGGGAGTTTCTATTAAAGCATAACAGGACTTAGAAGTGAAAAATCCTTTTGTGGTTAGGGACCAAATGGGGATATCATTGTTAGGGCCATTCTTGCGAACTTTTGTATTAAGGATATTGTTTTTTATATTGGTAGGGAGGTCTATACTTAGCTTATCAAAATATCATTGCTTTTTGTCCCAAATATCTCTTAACTTAATTCAGTGATCTGCTACAGATAAAGGACCCACGACCTCCCTTCTAAGGGTACCCATATTGCTAATCCAATTAGAATCCCAAATGTTCATATTGGTATAATAGTGAGGGGACCAAGTAATGCCTTTTGAACATATCTCCCATCCCTTTTGGATACTTTTCCAAATATAGGAGTTTTTGTTAGTGTTCTTATTTAGACAATAGGTGTGGATAATAAAACGTGCCCAAGGAGTTAAGGGATTGGTTAGAAGTCTCCATGAGAGAGATGCTAGTGTACATAAGTTCTTTGATTGGGCCGAGTGAATGCCTAATCCACCATTTTCTTTTGGTTGACACATCGTAGACCAACTAATGAGGTGAATTTTCCTTTTTCCAAAAGTGTTGTCCCATATAAAGTCCCTCTGAGTTTTGTCAATCCTATTGAGAGTATTCTTTGTTAGGAGGGAGTATTGCATATAGTGATTGAAAATTGAATTAAGGCAAGAGTTAGCTAAGGTAGTTCTACCTGCCAGGTTAAAGTATTTTAATTTCCATGAAGCTAACGTAGACCTCATTTTATCAACAATGAATTGAAAGTCCCTTGGTCTAGGACAACTGCTAAGAATTGGAAATCTTAAGTAGGTACCAAATTGGTTACAACTCTTTATGCCCAGTGCATTAGAGGTGGAACTAATGAGGGTAGGGGTGCAATTCTTTGAAAAGAGTATTTTTGATTTGATGTTGTTGATGCATTGCCCGGAAAGGTAACAAAAAAGGTCAAGTCCATTTTTTATGGCATGGAAAGATTTGTTGTTGACCTTGGCCATTAGGGTAAGGTCGTCGGCAGAAAAGAGATGTGAGAAGCTAGGACAGTTTTTCCCTAAGGTGATTGGATCCCAATTCCTAGTGTCAACTTGGTGGTTGATGTATCTAGTCAGCATTTCAAGGCAAAGTATAAAAATGTAGGGCGAGATGGGGTCACCTTGCCTGATACCACGACTAGGCTCAAAGTATTTAGTGGCAGAACCATTTACTAAAACAGCTATGCTACTGGTTGAGATGCAACTAAGTGAAAGCTTACAAAATTTAGGAGGAAAATTAAAGAAATTCAAGGTGTAATGGACAAATGACCATTCTAATCGATCGAAAGCTTTTTTTAGGTCGATTTTTAGCACCATATGACCTTGTTTTCCTTTCATTTTATTAAACTTAGAAATTATTTTCTGAATTATAACTGCATTATCAGCAGCTCGTCTATTCTTCATGAAGCTAGCTTGAAAGGGGCTTATTAGGAGATCTAGGTAGGGCTTTAGTCTATTGGAAAGGATTTTTGTAATAATTTTATAGACAGTGTTACAAAGACCAATTGATCGAATATTTTTAACATTTTCGGCATTAGGAATTTTAGGAATAAGGCATAGGTAGGTCCTGTTGATCTCACTTGGGACAGTTTGAATATTAAAAATGCTGTGACAAAGCTTTGTTACCGATTGACCTACAATTTTCCAATATTTTTGGAAGAAAAAAGGATGTAGGCCATCCGGTCCGGGGGCTTTAAGGGTTTGAAAGAAAATAAAGCCCTTTTAATTTCACTATCTAATAAGGGGGCATCTAAGGATATAAGGTCAATTTTTTGTTTTAAGGAGGTGCAACCTAAAGGGTTTTCCCACTTAGTAGAAGAGTGAGCCGTTTTGAAGGAATTTTCAAAGTAGTTTAGAACATAAGACATAGTTTGAGCATGGTCATTGATCCAGCTACCATTGTCATCCTTAAAGAAATTTATTTTATTTCTTCTTTTTCTATTAGTAGCAATAATATGGAAAATTTTTGAGTTTGTGTCACCCTCATTCAGCCAAGAAATCCTTGATCTTAGTTTCCAATAGTCTTCCTCAATCTTTAGGATATCGTTATACTCCCTAGTTAAGTCTTTGTCTAATTGTTGAAGAAAGGAGCTAGTGGTATATTTAGAGGAATTCTGGATTCCTTGTAGTCTAGCCAGAAGTTTCCTTTTTTTCCCCATTATATTACCAAAAGTACTATTCCTCCAAGGCTTAGTATTATTTAGAAAATTTTGACTGCCTTTCAAATAGTCAGTCTTTGTCCAATTTTTATCAACAAAATTTTGAAAATCAGGGTGCTTGCACCAGAAGGTTTCTAATCTAAATGGAGCATTATGATGAATCCTATTTTTAGGAATTAATTCTATTAGAAGGGGGTCATGGTCTGAGTGTGTTTTGGGTAGGTGAATTATTGAGCTTTTAGGGAACAATTCAATCCATTCTTCATTACCTAGAATTTTATCCAAACGTTCCATAATGAGCCCCTTCCTTCAATGTCTAAGGTTGGACCAAGTATACTTACACCCCTTATAACCTAAATCTAGAAGATTACAAGAGTTAATTTTGGACCAAATGAAGTTTGCCCTACTGCCTTTGATAGGCCTACCACCAAATTTCTCATTTGAAGCAATGACATCATTGAAATCACCTCCAACAATCCAAGGACCTTTATAGGCCTTGCTAATATGTTCTAAGTTATCCCACATTAAGTTCCTAATATGAACCTTAGTGCTAGCATAAATTGAAGAAAAAAGCCGTTTCTTTCAAATAAGACTAACCTCAATTGTTGCATGTATTTCCTGGTTCCTACGAATAGCATTATGAACACTAACGATCTCATGGTTCCACATCATCACCATGCCACCAGATTGTTCTTCAGCTAGAACTTCTATTAACTCTGTAAAACCAAAGTCATTTAGTAATTCAGCATGATTGTCCACTCTTGTTTCAAGAAGAGTAACTAGACAGGGCCTATGAGTATCAACCATCTCCCTGAAATTCCTTTTGAAGTTGTCATTGTTACCACCCCGTATATTCCATATAATAATATTGGTTGGACGATTCATGTATTGATTAAGGGTTAAGTTGGTTGGATCCCCGTTCTCTCTGATCCCTCTTGGAAATACAGGATTCCTTCTCAGTGATGGCACTAGTATCATGGCTCTGTTGCCCACTGTTGGGTCCTGGGGGGGTCTGATATCCATCGAGCACTTGTAGAGTGCCAGTGGGCAACTGAATACGTGCCTCTTCTCTTGCATCTCCCTGAAGAGTAAGACCTTTATCCCGTCTAGACTTGAGAACTCTAGGACTCGCTCTAAGACTAGGTTGATAGGATCTTCCTCCTCCTCCATTGCTGCCTCTATTGGACCTGGTACTTGGTTTTCTTTTTCCTAAGGGGGTGGTGCATGTTGCTGCATGGGTGGGTGAAGTTGGTTTTGAGGAACTGGGACCTCCCATGGCAGAAAAATAGGGTTCAGATGAGTGTACATCTCCATTGGGAAGAAGGGCATCTCCAATGGAGCATTTTGAGGGTGAATTGGCTTGAGCTGTGGGGGCATATTCCATTGATGCATCATTGCATGCATCATTTGTGGGTTCAATGAGGGCATCAGAGGTTGGAGGATATTGTTTAACGACACATTTGGTTTAGGTAATTGTTCATAGCAAGCCTCATCCCCTCTGTCACTAGCTGAGCTAGGTACTGAGTATTGTGAAGGATCACAATGGCTTCCTGTCCATTGATTAGGACATTGAACGAGATTGCATGGCCCGTTAGACCTAGTTCCATCCACGAGGCAGGTTGATAATCCTGTGCCTGTGGTGGTTGTGCATAGATGATTTGAGGGTTTTCTAGTGGTGGAAAGAGTGGAATGTTCTCCATGGAGTTTGGTCTGTGTTGTCGTAGAATTTGGATCAATCTGTTCCTCCTTCTTAGGGTTGATGGAAGTCTGGGCATTTTTAAAGGTTGTTTGAGAGTTTATGGAAGTGGAATTAGGCGTGGGTTCGAGGCTACTGGCAGTAGCCAATTGATTGGGCATTAGGGGAAAGGTAGGTGATGATTGCAAGTCTTTTGGTTGCCCAATATATTGGTTTATATGGATATCCTTCATAGTTGTATTAACAAGATCTTCTTCGAGTGCATGGGACATTTGTCCATTGCCTTGGGTGTTTTTTGCCATTTGGCTTGCATGCCCAAGGCAGGATATATTATCAAATCCAAGGGAAAGATTTTGATTTTGGATTTTGTCTAAAAGGAGATTATGACCGGAAAATTGGTTTTGTATCTTAAGAGGGTTAGTAGGGTTATCATTAGTAGGAGGGGGGGGGGGGGTTATTTTGTCCGTTTGAGTGTTAATTTGCATGGCAGGTTTTTTCATATTCTTTTCTTTATTAAGGATTTTTGCCACGTTTGAACCTAGCATGGCTGGTTCCTCATAATGTGAGGACAAGTGTGTTGAAGGATTAAGGTTAACATGTTTTAATTTATTATTAAGAGGAAGATCAGTGGTATCCTCCAAAACCATTTGCTCTTCTTGTAGAGGGAAAAATGGTTTTCCATGGCCATAGAGGTTTGATCAGACTTAGACTTGATCATGGATTTTTTTGGGGGGTGAACACTTGAGGATTCTCTAGGTTTACAATGAAGTAGTTGGTTGTTTAAGAACTTACCAGTATTGGCATTAAATAGATTTACCGAGATACCTTGACTCTTGGGATGATTGATTGGATTTGTAAGAATTGGTCTTGAACTTTTTGCCATATGCTTCCTTCCTTTGCTAAAAGAAACTGTTTTCCATCATTCATCCATGTTCTCCTTTGGTTGAGTAGGTTGGTCATCGGCTGAATTTGTATCTTCCGGTGTTTTTAGAATATAGCTATAATGATCCATTGTATGACCAAATCTACCACATTTTTTGCATAAGTAATCTTCCCCTTCATAGTAAATGTATTGTTTGTGTAGTCCAATGTAGAGAAAGGGTTGTACAGGAATATCCAATGGGATTTCTACACAAATTCTTGCATAACAACCTCTTAAAGTGGCTGATGTGCAGACATCGATTTTTAGTAATCGTCCAATGGCGTTACCAATTTTTTCTAAAAATTTTGAATCATAAAATTCCGTTGGAAGATGGGGCAATCTAATCCATACAGCTGAGGTTGTTAATCTTTCCTTTGTAGCCACAAAGTTTGGTTTCCATTTAATTATTAAGAGGAAATGTCCATTGATGAACCAAGGTCCTTGGTTGATAGCCTTTTCCATATTTTCCTTTTTACGAAATTTTATAATGTAGTAATCTTCTCCAAGATCAATAAGGGAAAGATCTTCTGTTGGATGCCAAAGTTCTTGGATTTTCTTTTTTAAATATTGGTGTAACATTCTTTTTCCAACCAACTTAATAATGATTGAACTTTTCCAAGGCTCATAAATACGCTGCCTACAATCTTCCGTTAAGGCAATTTGTTTGATGCCTCGTGCAGTACTGTTTGATAATTGCATGGACGATTCCTCTTCGATGGCTATGTTTGTCAGATCCACGTCTGACAGTGCTAGGTTTGGGGCAAAGCTCATTAAATATTAGTTTTAATTTTTTTTTAAAAATATGTATAAATTATTAATTTAGAGCTCAATAAATTAATAGAATTTAAATTCCGAACTCATAAGCTTCCAATTCTGATTTCGCCTATGAATTTGGTCATGTGGACTCTCCACAATACCGTGTTTATAAACATATATGCTTGTAACGTTGAAGTAGGGGCGTAGCTACCGTGCTGGCTACGGGTTCGGCTAAACCCAGTAGCTTTGGTTCAAACCTTATATTTATCTTTGGAAAATTCATTAATTATGCACAAATATTTATTTGGAACCCAGTAACTTAAAATGATTAGAATATCTCGGACCCATAAGCTTGAAATCTCAATTCCGCCTCTGCATTGAAGACAATGGAGTAAGACTTAAAGTTCTTCTATCTATTATTTTATACTTCATTATTTTACCTCCAAATGTAAGTGACTTTTCTTGAAATATTTCGGGCATATTTGGATTAAAATGATTTCCAGGGAAACATGTGAAAAATATGTTCCGTAGGACTAAAACTTTTTGTATTTTTTAGTTCTCACTGCTTATTTTCATGGAAACTTATTTATTTTAAAATAGTTCGGCATGCAGGTTGTAGTTCTTTAGATTCAATATTGAGGTTTACGATTTCGTTAACTACAAAAAATAATAACATTAGGAATAATTTTGGGACTATAACTTGAAAGCTTAATTGTATAAGATGAATTTCTGACCAGTGAAGCATATGCTTGATCAAGTCATGTTCTTTTCAGAATTTTCTTTCAATTTTTATATCAGTTATGTATCCTAAATCATGGAACTATAGTTGTGGTGACACAATGAACACAAAATGACTCTAGTTGTGTAACGACTTGACCGGTCGTTTTGAGCATTTGCACTTCGCTCGGTGGTTTGAGGGTATGAGTAGCTCCGTCTAATGTATTATGACTTATGCGAATCGTCGGTTTTGATTTTCAGGTTATTCGGAATTGATTTCGAAGAATGATTCTCAACTAGGAAGCTTTAAATTGGAAGAGTTGACCAAGATTGACTTTTTAGTATTTGACCTCAGATTGGAGTTTTGATGAATCCGTTAGCTCCGTTGGGTGATTTGGACTTAGGAGCGCGTCCGGATTGTGATTTGAAGGTCCGTAGTTGAATTTGGCTTGAAATGGCGAAAAGTTAAATTTTTGAAAGTTAGACCGGGAGTGAACTTTTTGATATCGGATTCAAATTGTGGTTCCGGGAATTGGAATAGCTTCGTTATGTAATTTGGGACTTGTGTACAAAATATGGATTCATTCCGGGTTGGTTTGCCATGTTTCGGCACGAGTTTTTGAAGTTGAAAAGTTCAAAGTTCATCAAGTTCCATTTGAGGCGCGATTCGTCGTTTTAATGTTGTTATATGTTATTTGAGGCCTCGAGTAGGTTCGTGTTATGTAATGAGACTTGTTTCTATACTTGGATGGGGTCCCGAGGGGCTCGGGCGTGCATAGATTGATTTCGGATGATTTTTCTCCATGTATTCACTACTGGTAGTTGCTGTTTGCTAGTGTTTCAAACCTTCTTCGCGATCGCGAAGACTGGCACGCGACCACGTAGTATATCAGAGGAGTTGGCCTTTTTCCTTCATCGTGTTCGCACCGGTGGCATCGTGTTTTCAAGCCTTTGTGAGTATTGGGCATACCGTTCGCACCCTTATGACTGCATTCGTGTAGGGCAGATATGAGAAGTTGGGACTGGGGAGTATGCCTTCGCGTTCGTGAAGTAGCTTACGCGATTGCGTAAGGTGGAGCTGTTGTAAATCATGTTCGCGAGGGCTATGCCGTGAACACATAGAGTGTTTTGGTGGCAGGTTATTTTGCTCATCACGAACGTGATGGGTTTTTCGCGTTCCCGTAAGAGGATGCCTGGGCAGAAGTATAAAGTACTCTATTTCGAAGGTTTAAGCCATTTTTACATTTTGGGGCTATGGAGCTCGGATTGAGGCGATTCTTCAAGCAATTTTCACTATGTGGACTGGGGTAAGTATTCTCTACTCATTTTTTTATTTTATATCATGAATCTATCTTTAGTTTCGGCATTAGATTGAGGGTTCCAAAAGAGAAATAGGGGGTTTTAGCCTAAAGTTTCATAATGTGAATTTTTGAGTTTTGAACACCGATTTGGAGTCGGATTTGAGTGAAACTAGTATGGTTGGACTCGTAATTGAGTGGGTTGTCGGATTTTGTAAGTCTTGTCGGGTTCCAAGGCGCGGGTCCGAGTTGGACTTTTTGACCGATTTTGGGCTTCTAATTAAAGATTCGACCTTTATCAATTGAGTTTGTTTCCTTTGACATTATTAGTATATTTGAGTTGCTTTTGGCTAGTTTTGAGCGGTTCGGAGGTCAGTACGCGCGGGATGGCATTTTTGGAGCATCGCTTGGCTTGCTCGGTATTGGGATTGGCTCGCACGAGGTAAGTAACACTTCTAAACTTGGTGCTGAGGGTATGAAACCTCGAATTATGTGTTACGTGATTGGTGTTGAGGTGGCGCACATGCTAGGTGACGGGTGTGTGGGCGTGCACCGTATGAATTATGACTCCGTTATTTCTGTGGTACTGTGGACTTACCTAATCTTGCCTGTAACCATGAAACTTTCTACATATTTGAGCTATTGAGTTGTGATCCATGTTAGAAACCATGTCTAGGCTACATACTTATCTTGTTGGGACTCACTGAGTCATTTCTGATGTTGAGTTATCTGCTTTCATTGATTTATATACCCAGTCATACGCATTCATATGGATATCATATCTCAGTCTCTGTTACCATTTATTGCCATATCATATCATCATTTTGGGCTAGTTTTATGGAATTGTGAGCATGAGAAACTGGAGAGATTGATGACTGAGTGAGGCCGAGGGCCTGAGTATGAGTGATATTATGGGACCGGGCTGCACGCTTCAACATGTTATATTGATTACATATATGGGATCGGGCTGCACGCCGCAGCGCTTATACTAATTTAATGTATCGCTTAGGCTGAAGAGTCCCTCCGGAGTCTGCACACACCCTAGTGAGTTAGCGCGCTTGATTTATATTGAAGGATGGATCTTCCCTGGATATGGATCTTGTCCGTAGCATTTATACCTGGGTATGGATCTTCCCTACGGGCTGGATTGGCCCTACTCAGTACTGAGTGACTGATGGTCAGTTGATGTATATATTTTGGGATGGATCTTCCCTGCGTACAGTACTGAGTGATTGAGCATGATGAGTAAAAAGTGTGGAACAGTGAGATTGATTACTTTGAGTGTGCGAGTACATGAGTTCATCTCTAAGATAAATTGCATTGACATGCACACATGACATCCATGCATAGAGATGTATTTTTCTCGTGTTGTACTGTATCACGTAATTCATAACTTCTCACACATATTGGCATATGGGCATAGTGATGCACTTTACTCTGGCTATCTGGAAGGAAAATGAAACATCTTATTTATTGTTGAAAGGATTTTTGGAAAAAATTACTGTTTTCACACTTACTCAATTTTTTTTGGCAACTTCGGTAAACAACTTGGGTTTTTCACTGATATACTTGAAAGGCAGAACTGTTTTTTTAGAAAATTATGATTATGCTGAGCATTTTATCTCTGAGTTACTTCTTTTATTACTTGCTTTACGTTGTTACGGACTGTTGTTGGCTATTGGTGTTAGACCCGACCTTTGTTCCAACTCATCACTACTTTCAACCTAAGGTTAGGTTTGTTACTTATTGAGTGCATGGGGTTGGTTGTACTCATACTACACTTCTGCACCCTGCGTGAAGATGTTGGATGCTGATGCTATTGTGATCGACGGGAGATGGAATTGAAGACGTACCTGTGTTCCAGTTGTAGCTGCCTCTTGTTCTTGGAAGCCTTAGGTTTATAAAGATCTGTTTATGTACATTTCGAACAGATGATGTATTTATTTCATACCAGCTTTGTAAATTCTAATCTTAGAAGCTCATAATTTGTACTACCAGTCCTTGGGGAATGTATCGTTTTTAGATATTTTCTTTTATTTAATTGTCTTATTAATTTCATTGGGATTGGTTAATTGTTAATTGGCTTACCTAGCGGGTTGGGTTAGGTGCCATAACGACTAGTTGGATTTTGGGTTGTGACAAGTTGGTATCAGAGCTCTAGGTTCATAGGTTCTACAAGTTATGAGCAAGTGTCTAGTAGAGTCTTGCGGATCGGTATGATGACCTCCATACCTATCTTCGAGAGGCTACAGGACATTTAGGATATACTTCCCATCTTTCTTTCCTTATCGTGCGACATTGATTTAGCTTGAAGCTTAACTCTTTGAATTCCTTCCACGCATTCATATGCGCATGTGAGTGCTCGATATTAGCTGTGCATCTCCGGCTGGTGATTTCATGGATGAGGTGCAAGATGTGATTCGGTGTTCTGGTGGCGGGCTAGTCTGGAGGACTTGAGGTCAGGTTTTGACTATAGCTTTCGATTGTGTGAGCACGTGCTTTTGGACTTATACATCCAGTAGTGTCCCTATGAGTGGAATTCGTGGCTCGATGAGTGGCTGGATAGCTACGTGCTGAGTATGATGTAACTGCCAGATGTGTTCATATGGTTTGAATGTGACGTGAAGAGTTTGCTTGAGATTTAAAAAGGACTATTGGATAATTGATTTTTGTCTTGATGTGATATATTGTCTCGAGTTATGAGTGTGTTAGAGGATCTTTCATGTTGTTAAATTGTGGAACGAATTAGCTTCTCACGTCTTGTTGATGAGTTCAGACTCAGAAAGATTAAGCGATTGTGTAGTAGTTGTGGTTGTGAAGGGGTATAAAGAGATGTCAGTTTGAGGCTAAGCAGGTGGGTTATAACCTGCAAGGTAATATATGGATGTGTGATTTTTATGATGTTGTGTTGAAGCTTTCTTTTCTACCAGTAAATTATATGTGTTGCAATTTGAGTTTGGGTCGCTTGTGGAAATTTGCTTGACTGTTACAAGGGTGAGT